GGCGCACGCAGAGCCTTGGTCCCCAACCCCCCCCTCCCTCGACGCGACCCCCACCCAAATTTGGGAGGGGAACTCCAATTTAGAGGGGTCAGAGCCCCAAAACCCCTCCAATTTGGGGAGGGGGATGCCCCCATTTAGGGCGGTCAGAGCCCCCAGAAACCTCCCCAGTTTAGGGAGGGGGCAAAGCCACCCCCAAGCCTCAAATCTGGGGGCTCAGAGACCCCAAACTGCCCCCAAATTTGGGGTAAGATGGAGGGGGGGGGGGCTCAATCCTCATTTTGGGGGACCCCAACCCCAAATTTGGGGCAATCTCACCTCTCATTTTGGGGGATTCTACCCCCCCCCCCCCCTCAATTCAGGGCTCCTCAAACAGCAGCGGTTGCTGGGGGGTTTTGGGGGGGATTTGGGGTTTTTTGGGGGCTCTGGGGGGGCCCGGGGAGGGTTTGGAGGGATTTGGGGAGGGGGTCCGGGGGCCCCCCCCGTCCATTATCGCAGGGAGATGCTCCAGTCGGCCCCGATGGGGACCCCCGGGCGCCGCAGCGTCAGCACCGAGCGCTCGGGGTCGTGCTGGAACTGCAGCGGGGTCTGGGAACCGTCTGGGGAACACGAAATTCCAACTCAGGGACCCCAAATTCCGGCTCAGGGACCCCAAATTCCAGCTCAGGGACCCCAAATTCCAACTCAGCGACTCCCAAGAAACCCCTCAGGAAACCAAAAAAAACCCTGAGGAACCCTAAAAGTCCAGCTCACGGACCCCAAAACTCCATCAGGAACCCAAAATATTCCTCAGAAACTGCAAGTTCACCCCTAAGGGACCCCAAATTCGCCTCAGGGACCCTCAATTCCCCTCTGGGACCCTGAATTCTCCCAGAGACAACAAAATCCCCTCAGAGATCCCAAATCCACCCTCAGGGACCCCAAAAACCCCTCAGGAATCCCAAAATCTCCTCAGGATCCCTCAAAATCCCTCCCCGGCTCTCGCCTCATTGTCCATCCTCAGCAGGCCGCTCTCCGGCCACCCCAGCCCCAGGATGACCCCTCAAAAACCTCCCCCCAGAAACCCCCAAAGACCACCCTAAAACCTCCCAAAATCCACCCTAAAGCCCCCCAAAATCCCCCCAAATGCCCCCTCACCGTGGGCGGTCAGCAGGGCGCTCTCTGGCCGCCCCACCCCCAGGATGACCACTCGCTCCAGCCAGGCCGGGTTGGACATGGACCCGCGGGGGTCAGCGGAGCTGAGAGGAACACGGAGGTCACAGGGGGGGTCACAACCCCCAAAAATCCCCCCAAAATCCCCCCCCAGACCCCTCAACCCCATCACAGACAGGGCCCAGGAGAAACAGGGGGGCTGGGGTGGTCCTAAGGGAGGGTTTGAGGGCATTTTTGGGGTATTTTGGGTACCTGGCCATGAGGGCTCCCAGAGGTTGTTTTGGGGTGGATTGAGAGATATTTTTCAATATTCTGATTATTTTTGGGCCAGTTTTTCCCCTCACGTTTCCCGCCCTTTTCTCCCCTCACGTTTCCCGCTCTTTTTCTCCCCTCACGTTTCCCGCCCTTTTCTCCCCTCACGTTTCCCGCTCTTTTTCTCCCTTCACGTTTCCCGCTCTTTTTCCCCTTTGGTTTTGGGGTGTTTTGTCCACCTGCCCGGGAAAGTGTTTTGGGGCAGTTTTGGGGGGTATTTTAGGGTATTTTTAAGATATTTTTGGGTACCTGGTTGTGAGGGTGCCCAGGGGCTGTTTTGAGGCGGGTTTTTGGGATATTCTGGGATATTTTAAGGTATTTTGGGATTCCTGGCAGTCAGGGTGCCCAGAGGCTGTTTCTGGCTGGGTTTTGGGGATATTTTAGGGCTGTTTTTGGGATATTTTGTGTACCTGGATGTGAGGGTGCCGTTGGCAAAGCGGAACTGCCGGTGCAGGAATTCGTTTTTGGTGGCGTAGTCGAAGCTGATCCCATCATCCAGGTAAAGCTCCCCCTGTGCCGTGCCCTGCGGGATAAAAAATGGGTTTGGAGGGGTCCCAGGGGGGTTGGGGAGGTTTGGGGGGGGTCCCAGAAGGGTTTGGGGGGGCTCCTGAGGGGTTTGGGGTGTCTGGGGGAGTTTTGAGGTCCCCACACTCACCTGAGGGGAGTTTTGAGGTCCCTGCACTCACCTGAGGGAGATTTTGGGGTCCCTGCACTCACTTGAGGGGGTTTTTGGGGTCCCTGCACTCACTTCAGGGATTTTTGGGGTTCCCACACTCACCCAAGGGGGTTTTTGGGGTCCCCACACTTACCTGAGGGGGTTTTTGGGGTCCCTGCACATACCTGAGGGGGTTTTTGGGGTCCCTGCACTCACCTGAGGGGGTTTTTGGGGTCCCTACACTCACCTGAGGGGGTTTTGGGGGGTCCCTGCACTCACCTGAGGGGGTTTTTGGGGTCCCTGCACTCACCTGAGGGGGTTTTTGGGGTCCCTACACTCACCTGGGGGCTCAGGGCCACGTAGAGGGTGAAGGGGTCGCCCCTCATGGCCTCGGTGGAGCGGCGAGGCCGGTCCTGGCGTGGGATCACCGTCCCTCCCCGCTGGAACACCGGGATCTGGGGGGCACAGGGGGGGCTCAGCACCCCAAAAACCCCCAAAAAACCCAAATCCCTCCAAACCCCACCCCCCCAAAAAAAAAACCCCAAATCCCTCGGGTCACCCCCAGTGCTTGAGGTGATTTTTACCACGGTATTCCCCCACTGGAATAGAGGAATCTGGGTGGGGATCCAGGAGGTTTTTGGGGTCTCCAGAGGAATTTTGGGGTCTCCATGGAAGTTTTGGGGTCTCCAGGGAGGTTTCTGGGGTCCCAACCCCCTCCCGAAACCCCCTGAGTCCCCCCAAATCCCCCCCAAAGGACCCACGGTGCTGAGGGTGACGGGCACCACCTTCCCCATGCAGGAACAGGGGGATCAGGGGAGGATTTTGGGGTGTCCAGGGATAATTTTGGGGTCTCCAGGGGGAGTTTTAGGGTCTCCTGGGGCTTTTGGGGTCCCAGTCCCTCCCCCAAACCCCTTGAGCCCCCCCAAAAACCCACGGTGCTGAGGGTGACGGGCACATAGAGGGTCTGGGGTGCCCGGTGCTGCTCATGGGTCTCATCATCGTACCAGACCTGGGGAGGGAAATTTGGGGTTCAGGGGCGTCCTGCACCCCAAAAAAAAACCCTAAAATAGACCCCAAAGCCCCCCAAAACCCCTCACTCACCTCTCCCTCCCCGGGCAGGTACACGTGGACCCCGCGGGCGCCTGCCTCCGTCACGGGGTGCACCAGCAGCACCCGGTCTGGGGGGCAGCGAGGAGTCAGCCAGGGGAAACCCCAAAAATGACCCCAAAAGGGATCCTAAAGGGCTCAGGGACCCCAAAAAGGGAGTCAGGGACCCTAAAAAGGGTCAGGGACTCCCCCTCACCGATCAGGTACTGGTCATCCATGGCGAAAGTGTGGGGGTCATCCGGGAATTCCATCCACAGGGGCCTGGGGGGACAGCGGGGTTTGGGGTCAGGGCGATCTGGGGTCAGGGGGCATTTTGGGGGTTTGGGATCGGGGGTTTTGGGGCATTTGGGATCAGGGGTTTTGGGGCATTTTGTGGGGTTTGAGATCAGGGGTTTTGGGGCATTTTGGGGATTTGGGGTCAGCAGGGGTTTGGGGTCAGAGGTTTGGGTTCGGGGAATTTGGGGTTATCCTGGATGGATTTAGGGTCGTCCAGGCAGATTTTTGGGATGGATTTGGGGTTTTTGGGGACTCAGGATGGGGACTGCCTGGCAGCAGCAGAGATAAAAGGCCGCGTAGCACATCAGGATCGGGGGGATTTGGGCTGATCCCGGGTAGGATCTGCTGCACCTCAGGCGGGTTTTTGGGGCGGATTTGGGGTTTTTGGGGTCGCACACCTCATGACGGGGACTCCCTGGCGGTGGCAGCGGTAGAAGGCCGTGTACCAGGTGGGGATCAGGGCGTAGCGGCGCCGCAGGGCGGCTCTGACCACGTCCAGGTGCTCGGGGCGCAGCAGCCACGGCTCGCGCCGCGCCGTGTCCAGGTGAGCGTGGGCGCGGAAGAACGGCTGGAACGCCCCGGCCTGGTACCAGCGCACCTGCAGCTCCGGGCCCGGGTTCTTGAAAAAGCCGCCCACGTCCGCTGGACACGGCACCGAGGCCGGGAGTGAGACTGGATACCGGGCCTGGTGCTGATCCCAGCCCAGAGCCTGATCCCAGCCCAGATCCTGAGCCTGGTCCTGACCCTGATCTCAGCCTGGATCCTGAGCCTGGTCCTGACCTTGATCCCAG